TTGCCACATGGAACTTAAGGTTTATTGCAAGTCCAATAGTAACACCATCCACCCAGGAACGTCATCCTACAAATACACAAATCTACTGCAGTGTATTGTTCAAAAGTTTCCTCTATTCACAAAAACTAATTTTTAATCACTTCATGGTGTCATGTCTGTCATGGGCCCACTGTCCAAACATTTTCAGTCATATAAAAATTCTCAACCCCATGATGATTAATAGAACTAATTATCACATCTACGCATTACTAAATATGTATTAATATCTTCAGCTGCAATAGCAAATGTCACCATTTTAAAATGTTTTCACCCGATTTTTCTTTTAATTTCTTAGCCATATTTCCATTGCATTGAGCAACAGTATTTCTGGTTATATTTACATTGGCACCTGCTTATATCTTTTCAGGACACACAATTTCTGCTACATTCATTAGATTCTCTTTTACAAAATGCTATCTGTGAAGAATTTGATGTCCCAAGCAGATTTTTCATTTATTTTTTTATTTTTTATTTTTTTGAGACAGAGTCTCACTGTGTTGCCCCGGCTAGAGTGCCGTGGCAACAGCCTAGCTCACAGCAACCTCAAACTCCTGGGCTCAAGTGATCCTCCTGCCTCAGCCTCCCGAGTAGCTGGGACTACAGGCATGCGCCACCATGCACGGCTTTTTTTCTGTATATATTTTTAGTTGTCCAATTAATTTCTTTCTATTTTTAGTAGAGACGGGGTCTCGCTCTTGCTCAGGCTGGTCTCGAACTCCTGAGCTCAAACAATCCACCCGCCTCGGCCTCCCAGAGAGCTAGGATTACAGGCATGAGCCACCGCACCCGGCCTCAGATTTTTCATTTAAATACATGACTGTTTATTCTATAAACAACCAAGACAAACCTTGTTGACATTTCAATTCTCTTTTCAGCCCATTAGGTTTTGATCACACATCTTTTCCACGTCCCTGATCTTTGTTCTTACAGTGGTTTGTTTCATAATGGCATCCAGCCTGTTTTCTTTAATTACATTCTTTGCCAAATAAGCACATAGGAATGATCTTCAATTTATGAAGTGGAACATATGAACTTCTCAGTCTACCTTCTTTTTTCTACTTTTCATAGAGATATGAGTGCAAGAAATATGCCACTTTTCTAACACTATATGGTGGGTGTGACTTCCACCAGCCAAAAACTCAGTTCTGCAAAATATTATAATTATTTTCTATAATTCAACCTCTGGATCTGGTCTCCTTCCACCTGATGAAGGACATCTTAGTCTTCTTCGGGAAGTCATTCAGCCAATTCCCCACTATAGTGAGTGCCACTTTTCCTATTACTCCAGAATTAACCCTAGAGCCCCTACGATAAACTACAAGGGTAAGTGCCCCCAGAGGGCAGTCATTCTCAATGCTTCTCTGCTCCATATAAGAACCACAATGGGTAGCTTTGTAAATGCCAGTGCTTAGCTTTAGCTTTTCCTTAGAACAATTATTCGGAATCGTAGGACATGGGTATGGGTGCTTTTTAAAAACCCTTCAGGTCATTCAGGTAATTCTAGTATGTGCACAGGGTTACGAAGGACAGATCTAAAGAAAGCAGCCAATAACTGAGGCCAGATACCTACCTGCAAAGCTTAAAAAGAGGTGGCAGTACCCACCCTGCTGCAACCGCCACGATTCTAGCAGCAAGCTTGCACTGAAGTCTGTATACACAAAAAGATTAGCAAAAGGAGGTAAGGGGCGCGTTGTGGCAGTGACGGTAGTGACGGGCGCCAGAGTGAACAGTTGCTACAGAGCCCTCTCAGGAACTCACACTTTGTCCTCACATGACAGCCAACATATGGAGGCCTGGCACCCAGAAGGCATGGATGGCCAGATGGTGTTGGCCAGGGGAGCAGCAGCACCCATGCCAGAGTACGTTTGCAACAGCAGCCAGGGAAATAGAGAGACTCTGCCACCTGTCCCCTCTCCCACACCAGCCAGGGCTTGAAGGGGGAGAGATAGTGTCTCCGGGCCCAGCCCAACCCCCCCAATGCAACCAGATGAGGTCTCAGCTCAAACTGTACTAGCAGAAAGGGAGAAAAGATTTAAACTAAATATGAAACTAAACTGGACTAAGCATTAACAACCAAAAAAAGATTAGACAATTTGAAACCTGCTCAAGATATCACCATGGGATGGGGAAGGAAGATTCAGTGGCACAGAGCTGATTGAACGCTATTATTGAAGAAATATTGTGTTTGTCCTCCTCACTGGGTGGACACTTCTTCATAATTAATTATACTTTAGTGTTTTCTCAGTCATACCAGCTTTAAACACTGTTGTTACTAGATTTTCTCAGGATTTCTCCTTCCTGTCTTCCTTGAGGGGACATCTCTGCTCCTTGGGGGTCACGCACACACTTGGTGTGGGGGTGGGGTACAGAGTCTATCCCATGGCCACTCTTCTGACCTTACATCATCTTCAGCTCACATGTCCACACTTTATCTGAACCCACACTTGCAATCGCTCCTTGACATGGCTGTCAGACCCCTTAGCAGAATCCACTGGCTCCCTTAGCAGATCCCAAACCCTCTTTGTGGGCACAAGAGGGGTTAGCAGCTCTCCCAAGGGTGGATGGGCTGTGGGAGGTTCAGGGGCTCTCTTGCAGCCCTGTCTACCTTTGACATCCGCGTGCAGGCGTGAGCAGCGAGCCAAGAGGTGAAAGCTAGCTCTTCCCTGCCTCCTCCTCTCTCATTCCTCTCCAATGGGAAAACCATTTTTTAGTCTACATGGTGGTGGTCGAGAGAGAAGAAAAAGAAAAATGTTCCCCCTGGCCATGGCTTCTCCCAAATCTATTCTATACTACACCTGCACCAAAGCTTTTGAACTTAACAGCTAAGAATTTGAAAGTTTTGTTCTTTAGGGACCCCATGAGAGTTTCCCTAAAGTAGAGATGCCTCCATTCTAGCTTCCCAAATGAGAGAATATCATGGAATTAAAAATGAATTGGCCCCACATCACTACAAACATGGCCCTGTAAGTGGCTTGGAGTTGGTGGCCTGGACCACCAGCCTGCCTGGGGCCTCAGCACCTGTCCCACACCCGCAGGCCACTCCCCTCTCACCAACCCCCTCTGCTGTGGCCTCTTAAAATCAGAGAAAAACATGAATGAAAACCAATAGAAAACGGTACCAGGATAATGGAAATCAACAATTATGTGCAAGAAATTTAAAGAGGTATTATTCCCTACAAACTTGCACATGGTGGGACAAAATAAACCAAAGGACCAGTTTGGTGCTTTAGAATATGTGAAAGTTGCTGACAAATCCCGCTCTCCTCAATTAGAGAACTAACAGAAGTTAACAAGTCTCCTACAGGAAATGCAAAACTTGTCAATGAATCTTACTGTCTCCAGTTTCTGGCTATTATGAACAAAGCCGCTGTGAGCGTTCTTGTACAAATCTCGGTGTCGACATAAGTTTTAATTGCTATAAACAATGCTTTCTTAACTTTGCAATCTACTGCTTTGCCTGGTGCTTTTTCTATACAAATATGATCTTATAACACAAGACATTTTTATAATAATAATAATAAATCTCTGACTTCTTTATGTTAAATAAGGTAAATTTAGGATAGGGAAATCCATTTTTATAATCCCTCCATTTATGACACACCAGAAAGTGGCAACTGGTGCTCAGCCTGGGTGTCAAGAAGACACTAGAAATTGGTGGGTACCGTCAACAAACTGGAAAGTATATGCCTTGTTCAAAATGGGCAGCCACTACTCAGCTTCAAGCAATTCACCATGCAAACCCGATATTGCCGAATCCTCTTATTTCTCAAAAGAAGACAGATTTTTTTGTGTGCATGTATGTAATCTTCTAAATTTAAATGGTGGCCAATAAAAAAAAAAAGTTAAGCACTCATGAACTAATGCTGTCCAGTGTATTAGACAATGCAAGATAAAACACAAGTGCAGGCCAAATTTGGCCCAAGGCTCTTTGATTTCTAGCTAAGACTTCGGTTCTCAATCCTGGCTATGAACAACATGACCTTTTAGCTTTTTAAAACAAGAAGGTGCCTGAGCCTATCCCAGATTCTGAATTAGTAGATTTGGGATGAGTCCTGAGCATTTATATATATTTTTGAAGTGCCAGAGTTCATTCTGGTTCACAGCCAGAGGTGAGAAGTAGGAAATTAAATTTCAAGTTACAGTGTCTTATCGCATTTCCGAACTTCAACGCCATGTTCAGAACACTTTGAATTCTCCCCAGGCTCACTTTGACTGATTCTGAATTCAAATAGTCATATGGACCTCAGTAAGTTGTCATTGTGACACAGATATACCCTCACACAATGAAAATGAGGAGTTATGGAGACTTTCTTGTTCCTGATTAACTCAAATATCATCCAGTTTGGGCTTTTCTGTACACTATTTGAGGACATTATAATAGCAGACCTTTCTGGAAGAAACTCAATTCTAAGTAAAAGATGTTTATATATATGAGCTGGTGGGAATTTCTTATTCACAAACATAATAACCATCAAAGGAAAAACCTGTCCCAAAATAAGAGGGACAAGAAAATAAGTGGGGAAGGCAGATAAAAGAAACTGTACATGTTTTCACAGATAATTTAGCAGGTAATGGAAATCTTGTGAGACAAATAAAAAGGCTATGGGGACACTAAGATTCCTAACCTGGGATTCTTGCCCTGTCAGGTGAATATGGACTTAAAGCAAATAAGGTACGAGGGTGCTATACTAGAAACCTGTCTCAAATTTCCAGCAAGCTCCTGAAAGCCCAAGACAAATGGATCTTTATGAAAAATGGAGACAGAGCCAGTAACCAGATCCTCCCATAATTTGCATGTCAAGCCTCTAACTTGCAGTCATATGACAAGCAAATGGAGAAAAATTGGAAATAACCATTAACTAGAGGGGGACAGAATTACAATAACATTGAGTGAGGGTCAGAAGACTGCAGAGCAGTTACCAGTTCTTGGTGTAGAAACCTGAAAGTCAAGGTCGAAGAGAATGGCAGTGTTGAACATAGATGCCTCAGATAAAGACGCAGCCAAGTTAAGGAACACCTTCACCTTGGTGGTCTCTGGAATAGAATGCATCACTGGCACCGTTGGGAATGGCTTCATAACAGCCATCTATGGGGCTAAGTGGGTCAGGGCCAAAAGACTCCCAACTGCGGACTGCATTCTGTTGATCCTGAGCTTTTCCAGGCTTTTGCTACAGCTTTGGATGATGCTGGAGAATATTTGCAGTCTACTATTCCCATCCATTTACAACCAAAACCCAATGTATTCACTCTTCAGAGTCACCGTCATGTTTCTGAACTATGCCAACCTCTGGTTTGCCACCTGGCTCAATGTCTTTTATTGTCTTAGAGTTGTAAACTTTACTCACCCTTTGTTCGTCATGATGAAGAGGAAAATCCTAGTGCTGCTGCCTTGGCTTCTGAGGCTGTCAGTGTTGTTTTCCTTATGCTTCAGCATTCCCTTCTATAAAAATGTCTTCAATGTGTACATGAATAGTTCCATTCCTATCCCCTCCTCCAACTCCACTGAGAAGAATATCTTCTTTGAGACCAATATGAGGAAGCTGACTATCTTCTATAGCCTAGGGATCTTCATTCCTTTGATCATGTTCATCCAGGCAGCCACCCTGCTGATCCTCTCTCTCAGGAGACACATCCTACACATGGAAGGCAATGCCACCGGCTCCAGGGACCCCAGCATGGAGGCTCACGTGGGTGCCATCAAGAGCACCAGCTACTTTCTCATTCTCTACATTTTCAACGCAGTTGCTCTCTTTCTTTCCCTGTCCAGCATCTTTGATACTTACAGTCCCTGGAATATTTTGTGCAAAATCATCATGGCTGCCTACCCTGCTGGCCACTCCTTGCAACTGATCTTGGGAAACCCTGGGTTGAGAAGAGCCTGGAAGCAGTTTCAGCACTGAGTTCGTCTTTTCTTAAGAAGACAGACTTTGTGACTGGGACCCAGGGGACCTAGTCCCATCAGCTCTGCCTTTGCCTCATCTAGACTTCTCTTTTCACTCATCTTTTCTCCCCCAAATTTGTTTGGATACTTCTCCTCAGGTAACCAGACTCTTTCTTAAGTGTGAAGCTAAATTTTTAACTTGATATTCTAAGCAGAAGTAACTAAGCAACACGATGGTGGACTTATGAAAGCTCCTTCGTCTATGCTCATTCATATCCTGCCCTGAGCTCTATTCCAATTTCTCCTCCCCCTGAGCCTTAAATAGAGGGTGACCAGACAGCTCCGTTTGGCTGGCCTGGGATGATCTCTGTTTGTTGTCTGTTGTCAATTGAGCACCTCTAATTTTCAAGGATGTCTTGGTCTGGATAAGAAATTATATGATAACCTCATTTAAGACACCCTAGTAATCCACAGTTAGGGAAAGGAGGGCCAGTGAAGAAGAGCTCAGCATGCAGTCCAACAGGTAGAAGGGAAACCAGAGTAGCTACAGAGAAAAGGGATTTTGGAAAGAAAGGCTGCCCAAAGTTATCAAGTGCTGCAGAGGTTTCAAGGGAAGGAAAGGGTGAAGAAAAAGGCTTTGGATTTGACTAAAGGGAGGCCACGTATACTATTACTGGAGTGACAGTGTGACATCTAGATTCAAGGAGTTTCCGGAGAAGGTAATACAAAAAGCAAGGGAGTATGTAAAAAGCAATAATTTAGGGAAGTTGTTTGGAGATAAAAAATGAGACATAGGACGGCAGATGGACACCTGGTTGGTCAACTGAATACCTTATTTCTCCAAGTGGAAGAAAGTGAACAGGAAGCAGAAAGAGAAAAGAAAGAGGCCAGAGTAAGTGAACATGGGTTTTGCTCTGCTCCTGACTCTGTGGCAATGCGAGTGGTACCTGTGCCTCTGGCTTAACCAGTTCTGGGTTACCTGGAAGTAAATAATGGGGTGAGAGCAGGTTACCAGGGAGTGGCCACTAGAGAAGAAGGAAAACATTATTCTTTGTTGTCACTCTTCAGGATGATTCTATCAGCATTGTCTCAAAGGGTTGTTCACAAAATAAGACACCCCACTCCTTGGATATCTAGGAACTCAAAAGTTAGGAATTTGTGTTTTTCTTTTATTAGGTATTTTGTAAGTCACAATTACCAAGGAAAACATAAGAAGAATGCTATTGATCAGACCAAACTTAGATAGCTCCCAAATCAAAGTGTATGGTCAGTAGCAAAGTATAAATTCTGAGCTCCTGGGCTCTCAAGCATGTATCATATATATCAGAGGAAATTCCTTACATCCACAATTGCAAAAAATCACACACACACGCACACACATACACACACTCACATAAATCCCTTTATAGTTCAGAGAATTTAGTACTTATTTAACCGGGAAGTAAAAGATGTGCAAAAGCACACACTTTTGATAGCTCTCTTAAGTGATATTTATTTATGTTGTTATTTCAGACTGGTATAGTTGTTATAATAAGACAAATTAGATTTTGAAGTTTTATTCCAATTCCTAAGGAATAGATAAATGTATATTTTCATCCAAATAATATATGCTGATAAAAAGGCTTATGTACCCACTAAAGGTACTGTAAAGCATCCCCCCCACCAAAAAAACCAGAAAATTGATTTAAAGTTACCATTACATTAACATGAACCATGCCAGGATAACAAAATGTATAAGCCCTCTCTTTGCTTATCAGGAAGAAATAGATCTCATTGTTTGCAAGGGCCTAAGGCAGCAGGTTGAGAGCTACCATGAGCTTCAGAGATGAGAACATCCTTATCAAAACTGTATGTTGCCCTGCCTTCAGCTAGACCAAATTCTCTCCAATTCTTTTTTTCTTTATGTAAAACTTAACTAAGTATCCAGAAAGAACCAGAATACCTGGTCTTCAAATTGGTTGGCTTTAGACAGAAATCGGAAGTCCCAAATGAAGACAAAAATTGGACTCTGCTGGGCTAAAGTTCATAACGAAATGCAAAGCCAGGCTTGGTGTTGTTTCAGTGTCTTTACTGGTTCCCACCTTGCAAACTCTGCTTGATCTCCCTCTCCCACCCCCCAGAGGAGGCTAAAGTTATAGTGTGAAGGATTCTTTTACCCACAAAGTCACTCTGGGTATCATCTACCGTGTGGAGCAGCTCAGGAGATTCTGGTTGCCAGGGGCTTCCAATCTGGCAGGCCCAGGGCAGAGGCAGGGTGTCTGCCTTCTCTCCCCATACCTGCTCAAGTCTTTGCAGATGACAGCTAGATTGGTAGCCAATCTTTGACCAATCTAAGGGCTGTGCCTTGAGGGCCACTAGATTGTCTCACATCCAACATCATCTTCTTCCAACTATCTCAGTGTTTGCTAAAATTCCATTGCAGTTCCCATTTTTCTTTGAATTTACTCTACAGGAAATATCTTCTCTTGTCCTCTCAAGTATATTTTACTTTGTACACTAGGGCAGAGAAACATCTATTTAATAAGGGAAAGAAACGACAAGTTGATCAACCTAAACAAGTCTTGTGTTGGGGGAGAGAAACCAAGGACAGATATCAAGTGCAATCATGGAAGCAGAGGAAGAGATACTGAAAGGGAACCCACCTTCATCCTTCTTGCGTTTCCTCCTCCCCTCTGGATACAAGTGAAGCCTTTAGAGGAGAGGTAAGAGGACATTAGTTTTTTTATATTGGAGAAGCTGCAATGTGATTCAAAGATTCAGTAGGTTGGATTTGGCTCCAAGCTGCAGTTTGCAGACCCTATACTCAGTGTGTTCTCCAGCCCCAGGAGGCAGAGGATGCCCCAAATCCCAGTTACACTTCACTGTAAACCAGGGATATTTATCGTGACAACTTTGCCATGTTTTGACCATTGCAATGTCCACAATATTTTGTCACTTTCAATTTCTCCACCTTGTCGCCACCCCTTTGCAATCCTTAAAACACAATCCTTTAGTTCTTTGTAAAAAAGCAAACAAATGACAAATAAACAAATAAAAACTAATGTCCTAGTCTCCTATCTTCCACCTACTGAGGACAGACACAGGGCCCAAAACTTGTTTCTATCTAAACCTTTGAAAGAGATCACCTTGAAGCTACTCGTTCAATAACATGAGGTAAAAAGTGGTAAACGGGCTCCTATAGCGTCCTTAGGAATGTCTGAAAACTGTAGCTTTGAAGTAGTCCTGTCCCTCTAAACCATCTCTGCCAAGGCTGAACACCAGGCTGTGGTGCTCTTCATGGATCTGACCCGGCATTGTAATGTTTGTATTTTTGCGTCCTTTTTAGATGACTACGTAACAGGCTGGTTTATTGTATGACAATGGGAAAGGCCTAGAGTCAGTGTAGCATGTGGAAAGAACCTACACTTCGGTGTCAAAGATCTAGAGTTCAGTCCACACTATAGATGATCTTAGGAAAGTCACTAAACCTCTCTGAGCCTCAGTTTCCCTGTCTGGAAAGCAGAGATAATCATAACACCCACTTCACAGGGTTGCTGTGAAGCTCAAGGGAAATAATATATGTATGTAATAAAATATAAACTACCATACAAAGATTAGTGTATTTATTGTTTCAACAAATATTTATTCATTAATTCAAAGACCAACTCAACCAAAAATTTCACCCTCTAAGAGTGAATGGTTTAGGAAGTAGCAGCTTATTAAATTACAATGTGGGAAATACTTACATGAGGCCTATGTACTGTGAGGTCAGCACTGTACCTTAAACCTCAAATGTTCACAGTTAAAGCTCCTACCCTCTGAAAAAATTTTAAAATCTTGATCTGCCTCTTTTAGCTCCTTCCCCATGAGGAGGGGAGAATTCAGGGCAGAATCCTTTTCTCTCAGCCTTAGTGGGCCAGTTAGGAGAGATTGGGGCTGAGAGAAAAAGAAATTTTCCACTAAACATCCTTAGAGATCTCCAACCGAGCCTGAGAATGCAAAATAGAAAGGGTCCCATTACATCCACCCTCCCTAGGGAAAGCTGCTATTTGCATCTCCTGCCTAGAGCCCTTGGAGACTACAAATAAATCCATGGTTTATTCAAACCAGTTGCTGGTTAATACATTATGGCTGGTGTCCTGAATGCAGCTGGGATTGTGAGTGATGGAAATTCTTGGCAGGGAGGGCATGGCAGTGTGACTCTTGGAACAGAGCAAGATCCTGCAGCCCATTCTTCTCTCATCTCACTGCTAAGTGGAAAAGCACCAAACACCCACACTCCACTCATAAATGCAGTGAGAAAAATTCCCTTGCCTATGGATTTAAAGGCCCAGAAAATGCTTCAGAAAACTCAGATTAATCACTTGGAGGTCATGTCTACACAGGGCCCTGCAGCCACCTGCCAACCTTTCCTCAGAGCCATGGCCTGGCTCCTCAAGGAGCAATGGAATATCTGCCACAAGGATTCTATAGGGATGTGGACAAGGGGAGCTGAGTTTTATAGCCATTTCTGAGGTTGGAGACAAGACAGGCTAGGGCTTACCTCCTCACCCCCAGCCTCTGCCCTGGCAGTGGACCTGTCAGGATTCCCCTCTCCACTTGAGCAAGTCCCAACAGGCAATGGCACTGGGGGGTGGAACTGGGGGAGCATTTTCTCTACACTCACGGAATGTGTGAAGATAGCAACAGGGGACAGGTAAAGTCAAAGGTAGGCACAGGCTATAGGTGATTCAGTTACCAGAAAGGAAAGGCCCTGTGACTGCGTGGCTCTGATCGGGTTGTGTTTGAGAAGACAGGACAGCACTCCAGCGAGTCACTGCCCAAACCCAATGCTGCAAACCCAAGAGGGTACACAGCCTGGGATCTGCTCTTCAAGCTGCCTGATACAGCCTTCAGACAAAAGAATGTGAACTCACTCGTTATCACGTTGGAAGATCATCTAACTCACTTTTCTATTTCTGCAGTCCTTAGCCCAGGAATTCACTCATAGTACAGCACAATAATTGCCGGGTGGAATCAATGAAGATTAGCAAGATGAGT